ATCCTCCACTGCTATCCCAGGCCATAGCAGAGAGCTGGATCAGAAATGGAGCAGCTGGGACTAGAACTGGCACCCATATGGGATGCTGGTGCTTCAGGCCAGGGTGTTAACCTGCTGCGCCACAGCGCTGGCCCCAAGAGAGAGATATTTTCCATTTGCTGGCGCACTCCCCAAATGGCTACAACAGCTAGGTCTGCACCAGTCTGAAGCTAGGAACTCCGTCCAGGTCTCCCATGTGGGTGCAGAGGCCCAAAGACCTGGGCCATCCCCCACTGCCTTCACATGCGCATTAGCATGGAGCTGGATTGGAAGTGGAGCAGCTGCTACTTGAACCGACACCTATATGGGATGTTGGTGTTGCAGGTGGGGCTCACAAAAGCAGCTGTTATTTTTTTCATTTTTAAAGCATTATTTTATTGATTTAAAAACAAATTTCCAATCCAAGCATTTGGTACAATGGTTTAAGCTGCCTCTTGAGATACCTGCTTCCCATATGCCTGATTGAGTTCCAGCTTCCAATTCCAGCTCCCTGCTAATACGCCTGTGAAGGCAGTAGGTGATGGCTCACGTACGTGGGACCCTGCCACCTGTGTGGGAGACCTGGATGAAGCTCCTGGTTTGTGGCTTCAGCCTGGCCTTGACCCGGCTGTTGCAACCTCTTGGGGAATGAACCAGTGGATGAAAGATCTCTGTCTCTCCTCTTGCTCTCACTCTGCCTTTCAAGTAAATACAATAAATATTTTAAAAAATAAGAAAATACACTGCACATTTTTAAAACAGTAAGTAAATAAATACACTGCACATTTTTTTAAAATAATAAGTAAGTAAATACCTGGCAAATTTCCAACTTCCTGCCCATCGCCACACCCATAGGTCCTAGGAACAGGGCATTGAGGGTGCCGCCTGCCTGGAGGCCCCCTGTGAGTTCCAACAGTGTGACAGCCTGTGCACTCAACCGGCAGCTCTCTCGTTCTCTTGTTGCTAGGACAGTCCCTGCACAGACTCTTCCTGATTTCATGTTTCTAGAGCACTCGTATCAACACGCCTAACTCAAGTGTGGGCAGCCACTCGCAGGCTCAGGACCCGAGCCTGGGGAGACAAGGCTGCTGTCCTCTGGGGCACCCGCTCACGCTGTGGGCACCTCTATCAAGCACAAGTTCCGCCGGCTCCTGTGCTTTCCCTAGCTGCTGTCTGGAGGCCTCCAGGGAGAGCAGAGGTCAGGGTTATGCTGAGCCACCCGCTCCTGCTTGTCCTTGGCCCTCGGCACAGGTAAGTGTTCATTGACTGTGAGTGCTGGTGCTGGGTGGGCGCAGCTGCTCGGTCACAGCAGCGGCTGTCCTGCCAAGTTCTACAGGGCTGCTCTCCCATTGGCCCGGGGAAGGCTGGGATCTGGCATTGCCGGGGCTGAGCGCCTGCCCTTCCCGCCTGTGGGAGTGCAGAGCCAGCAAGGGTGGGGCAAGAGCGGGCCGGCTAGTAGCTGCGGCTGCGTGAGTCACAGAACAGGCTTCTTCCTCTTTTTCCTCTCGGATCCCCACCCAGCCAGATGCTGTGCTTCCGCTGGCTGTCTCGCTCCGATTGAGGCTGAGGCAGGCCCCATGACAAGCTGGTGTGTGCAGGTACGAGAGCCCCTGGGCTGAGGAAGAAGGGGATGAAGTTACCCTCTGTGTGCGGTGGGAGCTGGGAGCAGAAGGGAACCCCAGGGCTGGGCTTTGAGGGCAGGGTGCAAACAGTGGCTCTCTGGTTCTTCCTGCCCGTGGCGCTTGTAGGGGGTCTCTGTGCCAAGAGCCTGCGGGCGTGCCCCTGCCAGCCCAGGGCCACCCAATATGCACATGGATCCCAAAATAGGGACAGGGCAGGAGACCCAAAGCAGCCTGACTGACAGAACAGGTGTTCAGAGAGCAAAGGCGAGAGTGGCCAGGGAGACACTGTGACACAGGGACATGGGAGAACACAGGACGGGAGTGGGGGTGGGGCAGGGGGAAGGAAGTGAGCCGAAGGGGAAGGCGAGAGGGAGACAGAAGCAAAGGGGTCCTGCCTGGGACTGAGCCGCAGACAGGGCAACATTCGGGTGACGCTGAGACAAAGACAAGCTGAGAGAGAGAGAGAGAGGTTCAGACAGCAGGGTCTCCCGCATAGAGCTGGGCTCAGCAGAGGTGGCAGGGCACGAGAAAGAGAACCCATCACACACTGCAAGTTGGTGGGTGGCCCATGTCGTAGCTGGGACTTTGGCTCACTCCCAGTGAGGGGAGTGAGCCTATGAAGATACTCCTAATTGCTAATGGGGAAAAGGTGGAGGCACTGGGGCCTCCCTGACTCGGGGGTGAGGAGGCCTGGGCGGTGTGGGGGTGATAGCAGCACTTTCAAAGAATGAGGTTGGGGCCGGCATTTGGCACCTCAGGTAAAGCTGCTGCCTGTGACACCGGCATCCCACATGAGCACTGGTTCAAGTCCCAGCTGCTCCACTTCTGACCCAGCTCCCTGTTAATGTACCTGGGAAAAGCAAAGGAGGTTGGCCTGGGTGTTTAGGTTCCTACTATCCACATGGGAGACCCAGATGTAGTTTGAGACTTCCTATCTTACCTTGGTCAACCCTGGCCATTGTTGCCTCTTTGGGAGTGAAACAGCGTATGAAGACTCTGTCTTATCCTCCCTGTCTCTTCTCTGTCCCCCACTCTTTTCTCTCTGCTGTTCGGTTTTC